TCGGGCAGAAACCTTCCCCCCAATTCGTATTAGTAGGAGGAGGAGGAAGAGGAGGAGGAGGACAGGATCACGCGCCTTGAAGAGCCTGAGCAAAAAAAAGAAGAGATGCTGAGAATCCCTGGGTTTTATACCGTCTGTTGGGATTTGAATTTGAGCTTGTATTCTGATTGGTTGTCAGACTCCCATGAGGCCATGAAGGGGCAACTCAGTAGGTTGTCCTGAGTCCCAGGCTTGGTTGAGCCTTGCTGGATGATGATGTAATGAAAGGGCTTTGGGCAATTCCTATTATGGGTCTGCCTGAAGAAGGTAGATCTTTGTTATGTAAAATAGACTGACCCAGGCCTTAATGGCCCCTTAGCAAAGGTTGAGTTTCTGCCTCTGAGTTTCTACTTCTCTCTTAGGGAAAATATTCTGCCTTTTTAATATATCCTAAAATATTTCATTTATCTAGGAGAGGAGTGGGTTTTAACTTCCAACAATAGCCTGTTTCAATCACAGTAGTTTTAAACCTTGTGTGGAGGTGATTTCTTGGTCTGACTTACCTAGTGTGCTGATACCCATTCTGAGAATAAAGTTACTCTCTAAAACCAATGGGCAGAGAAACTAAAGGAAACATATTCAAATGACTAAGATGTGGCATTTTGAGTGACAAGGTAAAAGGGTGGCACTGGCTTTGGTTTCTTAATGGTCTGCAGTTATTGCATGGCTACATCGTACGTCCATAGTCCAGTTCTATTACCATTTGGTGGACAACTTTGTGAATTTTGCAGAAACATCTAATTGGTCCTATTACACCTGATCTGGTAAGATTGATTCTTATGATAAATTTGTAAAGTGCATTAAGTCAGAACATGAATTCATTCTGCGTGTTGTGTAAATCCAGATGATGATGTGGAGCAGGCTACAGTCTATTCCCATTCCAATTCCTATTCTATTCCTGTTTTTATTCTCTAGCTATTACCAGACTAATGCATTTTCAAACCTCAGCAAATTTTAAGATGTGTGGACTTCAACTCCCAGAATTCTCAACCCAGTTTGACTGACTGGGGAATTCTGGGAGTTGAAGTCCGCACATTTTGAAGTTGTCAAATTTCAAAAACGCTGATTTAGTATGTCCGGTAGCCCCAGCCATTGTAGTTAATTCAGTAAACTATGGTTAAAATAAGCTATGGTGAGTACAACGACAGACGAGCATTTTCAAAACATTCCCGGAGTAAGCAGAGCAAAAAATGTGTACAGTATGTGCAGTTTTGATGGAGTTTCTTGGACACCTTTTACCCCTTAAACCACACAGATCCAGTCTTTCTTGTGAGGGACTAGAGGAGGGGTGTCAAACTTGTATCATCAGGTGACGTATCGCGACTTTTTTCCCCTTCGGTAAACCGGGCATGGGCGTGGCCAGCACATGACACATCCGGCCCGAGGGCTGTGAGTTTGACAGCCCTGGACTAGAGGAATTTGCACGGAAGGCACCCATGGCATCTATCATTAATCACCCAAGAGCCCCCCTTTGAGGGAGATGGGTGGTTTAAAAATACGAAATATTATTTTTTCACGCTGTTGGAAGTTAAAACCCACCCCTCTCCTGGGAAAATGAAATATTTTAGGATATACTAAAAAGGCAGAATATTTCCCCTAAAAAGAGAAGTAGAAACTCAGAAGCAGAAGCTCACCCCCCACACACACACACCTTTGTTAATGGGCAGGCTATTGAGGCCTGGGCCAGAGTATTCTACATAACAAAGGCCTCTACCCATCTCATCACCTGGCCTGGGAAGATTGCATCAGTCAGCACTCAGGTGATTCAGACAAAGTCTACAAAGTTAGCTAAGACCCTCCTGCCCCGGGGAGTCTGACAGCCAGTGGGATACATTTCTCTATTGGGGCCCAACAGAGAGTATAAAACAATTGCACTCTCAGCATCTTGCCCCTTCTTCTTTTCCTTCACCCAACATCTTGAAGCGTGTGAATTCACTTTGAAGCTCCAAGCCATGTGGTCCTGTCCACCATTAAATCATCTTTCCAAGCAATCATCATTTTTCCAATGTCTTTCTTCCCCACTTGGAACTGAACCCAGAAGGTTATTTCTTCCAACAACGCCATAAAATCTTCATCCTGCCTTGCTTAGAACAATGTGTGCAACACAAGTCCCAAAAAGACAACATCCTTTGATGCCTGGAGATAAAGATTAACCTGGACTCGAAGCATCTTAGACCTGACGTGCAATTGCTCTTTGGGTACCCATAAAAGAATAAGAACAGGTTTGATCTGTAGCACATCGCTACTGTTTATTTCGGAGCCACAATGATTGGTTCAAATGTGCAGTCACGGTGCTTGCCTTTCCTCCCCTCTTTCTCCCATCCTGGACCTGTATTTAAGGTTGCTTTCTAACAAGAACACACAAGATCCTTAAATTGACAAGAGGAAGCTCTTCCACCAGCTTAGGGGCAGCAGCAAAGCTGGACCTCTGTTCTCCTCTGTACCACCACGGATTGCAAGGAAGCGACGTCGAAGGCTGCACAAGCTGAAGTCATGGGAAGGAAACGCAACACAGAAGAAAGGAGGTGCTTGGAGAGGGATCCCAGCAAGGTAGCCCTCCTTACTTGCTTCCTTCGGGATCCGGTGTGTGATTTTTCACCTGCAAGGGAAGAAAATATTCATATGGTAACTCTGAGCTTGTCCAATTGCAGCTTCTCTGTTTTCAAAGTAGATTGGCTTGATTTAGTGCTTGATTTAAGTCAATCATGGCTTCCAATGGCATCTGAACCAAGTCCCCATATCTAGAGCTGTAAAAATATTATATTTCATAGTTCCCAAATGTTGGATGCTGTGGAGAGAGCCATCAGAAGCTGGAAGAAAAAAAAAATACTTTCAGTGCTCAATGTATCTTCAGAATTATTTGGGTGAGCATCTGATACGGTTTAAATACGTAGCCTCAGTATAGATTTATTGCAGTAGCAACCCAACGTGGGCAGTGTATACTTCTAAAGGCTGCAATCATCAAATGTGTTTCCTAGCACAGGGGTCTCCCACCTTGGCAACTTTAATAAGACTTGTGGAATTCAACTCCCAGAAGTCCACAAGTCTTAAAAGTTGCCAAGGTTGGAGAACTCTATCCTAGCATAAGAAGCTACACAGGCTGAGTCAGGTCAGTGTTGGTCCCAAGTTCATCATCTGGCACATCTCATGAATCTGCTGGTTTTCCCATCGGATTCTGAGCCTTTCGCAAACAACGCAGGTTGTTCTGCCAGGGAACCAGGGCAGGGAACCAAGGCCTTTTTCCAGAATGCTTAAGTTGAATTTAATTGCAGTTAAATCAATTGCCTTATTTTCTTGGTTCTGCTTCCCTTTTTGTGGTCTTGCCCTTTGGAAGCACCTTCTCACTCTTGTGTAGTCCTTAAGTCTAAAATAAATTGGGGACCCCATGCCCTACATTACAGGGCCCCTGATTGTCCCTCATCAATCTCTTGACAAATATCCTCGTGGTGCTTTTTTCAAAAGGCAACTGGGACTTTGTTTTTTCCTTGAAGATATTTTGCTTCTCATCCAAGAAGCTGCATAAACAGAGGGATGGAATCAAGATCACGTGAAGTGTTCATACCACTTTATCATGCCTTGGGAAGGCCACACTTGGAATACTGCATCCAGTTTTGGTCTCCACAATGTAAAAAAAAAAATGTTGAGACTCTAGAAAGAGTGCAGAGAAGAGCAACAGAGATGATTAGGGGACTGGAGGCTAAAACATACGAAGAACGGTTGCTGGAACTGGGTATGTCTAGTTTGATGAAAAGAAGGATTAGGGGAGACATGATAGCAGTGTTCCAATATCTCAGGGGCTGCCCCAAAGAAGAGGGGGTCAAGCTATTCTCCAAGGCACCTGAAGGCAGGACAAGAAGCAACAGGTGGAAACTAATCAAGGAGAGAAGCATCTTAGAACTAAGGAGAAATTTCTTGACAGTTAGAACAATTAACCAGTGGAACAACTTGCCTCCAGAAGTTGTAAATGCTCCAACACTGGACGTTTTTAAGAAGAGATTGGACAACCATTTGTCTGAAGTGTAGGGTTTCCTGCCTGGGCAGGGGGTTGGACTAGAAGACCTCCAAGATCCCTTTCAATTCTGTTATTCTATTCTATTCCCCTTCAGTTCAATTCTTCTGAAGGAGCTTCTTGGATGAGAAGTGAGACGTCTTCAAGGAAAAGCGAAGTCCAGTTGCCTTTCAAACAGCTGCGGCCTGAATGACTTGAGAATCTCCGTAGACACTCTTGGCGAATAAATAACCTGAGCAGACTCCACCCGGACGTTAATCCGGCGACCAAATCTTCTTCGCAGCTCTCTGTTTTCCAGCTAACCTACTTTCCACAGCAAAGACCTCTAGAACGGTATCAAAACACTTCCACCCTGAGCTTCTGCCCTCCCTTCCCTTCTCTGTCCCTTTCTCCCCATCTCAAGGCTTCTGAGCCATCTGATAATAGGAGGAGGAGGAGGAAAAACAGCAGCGTAAACATGCCATTGAGGCAAATGGAGATGGATGCTCTGATGTGTGAAGGAAATGCAGTAAAATCCCATCTGGTGGGATAAACTCTGCTGCTCCCTTGGCATAAATCTCAGAGGCCCACTTACCGCAGCTTCTTCGGTGTCTGTGCTCTCCTCTGCACTATCAACCTCTTGCTGACCCTCATTTCGGACACTTCCCTTCACCCTGGTCAGTTCTCCGGCCGGGTAGGAAGGATCCACGCTGGCAAACGGTTTTCTCTTGTTCTCCTTGGCACCTGCGAGATCAGAAATGCTCACCGTTGGGATTCTCCCATTCCAACAAGGAGCCAGGGCGCTTTGGGGTTCTCCCATGGCAAGGAAGGTCGTAAAACGGGGCAAAATGTACCAGCCTCATTAAGCAACAGAAATGTTGGGCTCGATTGTTGTCATAAGTCAAGGGCTACCTGTACCTCAGGGCCAGGACTTCGAATCAGTGGCGTTCTTGGGTCCTCCTGGCATGTCTAACATGCTAGTGATATTATGCTCAGGGACCATTAAATTCATAATTTTAAATCCTGTGGACCTCTAATATGATCTACCTAATGACCGGCTGGGTGGGCGTGGCTAGGTGGTCATGTGACTGGGTGGGCGTGGCCAACTCGATGTCACTCACGTCGAGGGGCGCCTCGCCAGCCTCACCTCACCCCTCCCCTCCCCTCCCAGTCACTCCTCGCCTACCTGCCTGGGTTCCTTAGGGCCCCAACAGGAAGCAGTTGTTGGAGCTAAGCAGCCACCAGGAGAAAGAGTTGGCAAAACACCTTGGCTCCGTTCACATTGGATCTGACCGAGGAGGAGGCTCGGCAGAAGCACCTCACTGAGGACTAGGAGCATAGGCTTTCCAAGCAGAGGGAAGATCTGCGGGAGTGCAAGGCCAGGTACTTATAGAGCCACGGTGGCACAGTGGTTAGAGTGCAGTACTGCAGGCTACTTCTGCTGACTGCCGGCTGCCTGCAATTTGGCAGTTCGAATCTCACCAGGCTCAAGGTTGACTCAGCCTTCCATCCTTCCGAGGTGGGTAAAAGGAGGACCCAGATTGTTTGGGTCAAGATGCCACTTAGGGCTGTTAAAGCATTATAAAGTGGTATATAAGTCTAAGTGCTATTGCTACTGGCACCTGGAGGATCAGCGGGCTGAGATGGTCAGCCAGTTCCAGGCCATGATGCAGTCCCACTGGAACGAGGCCCACCAGCGACCCTTCCCTCCAGCCTTCACCCAAAGCCTCGCCCCAGGAGGCTGAAGCAGACCCCAAGTCGGAATTTCCGATCTGCACAAAAAGACCCCAAAAGGGGGAGACTCTGCAAGCAACACAAACATTCATTGCACGTGTCTAGCCCAGGGGCCGTCGTTTGAGGATCCCTGATTTAGTGCAATATAAAAAAAAAATGCAAATATTTTTTCTGCAGACCACCAAAATTTTCTCGCAGACCACCAGTGGTCAACCGACCACCAGTTGGTGACCCCCTGCTCCAAAGCACCAGAGGGCGGGACAAGAAGCAACGGGTGGAAGTTTGTTCAAAAGAAATCCAACCTAGAAAGAACTGAGGAGAAAATTTCTCACAGTGAGAAGAACTGGTGATGGAACCGCTTATCTCCCAGCGTTCTGGGTGCTCCATTGCTGGAGGTTTTCAAGGAAAGATTAGACAGCCATTTATCCAGGATGGTATAATATCTCCTGCCTTAGGCAGGGGGTTGGACTAGACCAGGGGTGTCCAACCTTGGCAACTTGAAGACTTGTGGACTTCAAC